AGGCTCGTGCAGGCGAGGAGCTTTGGTTCGTGCAGTTTAGGCTCGTGCGAACAAGGAGCATTGTGCCATGCAGTTTAGACTCGTGCGGGCGGGGAGTCTTGTGTCTTGCAGTTTAGGCTCTTGCAGACAAGGAGCTTTGGTGAATTTGTCAAGCAATTTTGGAGAGGCGTTCCTCACAATCTTCATAACAAGGAGCCTTGACCGAGTGATTGAAGAAGTCTTCGGGCAAGAAATCACGCATCGTGATGGGGATGGACGATCTATATGTCGAAATTTCATCATCTTCAACACGTTCACGTTGCTTTGAAGGTTGACAAGAGCTGCTTTGCCCCATTTCCGATTGGCGGACTTGTGGAGGAGACGTATGCTTCTTGTGCAATTTCTTAGGAATGACTTGAGTCCATCCTTCAATTTTGCTTGTCTTGGACGATGCCCCCAGCGGTTGAGGTGAAAACTTTGAGTCGGAAGAGCCAGAAGTGAAGGTGGTATAATTTGACTTCGCCACTTCGTCAAGATCTAGCTCGATGATTCCTTTCTGAGCTAGCTTTATGATGAGATCTTTCAGGATGAAACATTTTTCTGTCGGATGACTAATGAAGCGGTGGAATTTACAGTACCTTGGACTGTCGGTGCGATTCATCTCTTCCGGCCGTCTGCACTCAGGCAAGTCGATCACCTTCTTTTCCAGCAAGTCTTCTAACATGGCAACCACATCAGAGTTGGGGAATGGATAAGTTTTCTCCTCCAGCTCCTTCAAAGTGCGTCTACGCATCTCTTGATCACGAAAAGCTTCGGTTTGAATCGCCTTGCCTCGTGTGGAGATTTTGACGGGAGCTGTGTTGACCGTCATCGCTTCCTTGGTGGGTTTCCATGCGGCCTTTTCCACCTTTGTCCCAAGAACTTTGTCGTTCTTGTAGTCGGCGATCGGTTATTTCTTCCCATGATGGGCGATGCTCAACTCCATGTCATGGGCGCGAGTAGCCAATTCCTCGAAGGTCCGCATTTTAATGCCTTGAAGGATGTATTGCAAACCCCATTGCATGCCTTGGATGCACATCTCGATTGAAGAAATCTCGGAGAGTCTATCCTTACAGTCGAGGCTTAGATTACGCCATCGGTTGATGTAGTCTATGACTGGTTCTTCCTTCCATTGCTTCGTGCTCGTCAGCTCTAGCATGCTCACAGTGCGGCGGGTGCTATAGAAGCGGTTGAGGAATTCCCGCTCTAATTGCTCCCAGCTGTTGATGGACTCGGGCTCTAGGTCTGTGTACCACTCAAAGGCGTTTCCTTTCAGTGAGCGCACAAACTGCTTGGCGAGGTAATCCCCTTCGGTTCCTGCGTTGTTGCAAGTTTCAACGAAGTGGGCAACGTGCTGCTTTGGGTTTCCTTTTCCATCAAACTGCATGAACTTTGGTGGTTGATAACCCCTTGGCATCCTTAGGGCATCAATCTTCTTGGAATAGGGCTTCGAGTAGAACAAGGAGGTATGTGAGCTCCCTTCGTACTGTGCCTTGATGGTGTTGGTGATCATCTCCTGCAGCTGCTGGATAGAAAGAGATCCCATGAGTGCCGCTGCTTGGTCTGGCTCCGGCTTCCCATCGATTTTCTTCACCGGGGGGTTCTTCGTCTCCACCAGCTCTCTCCTCCCTTTAGTGGATCATCCTCTGGGTCGGGTTTATCGCCGTCATGCACCTCCAGTTGGTTGACTAGTGCTGCAATCTGCAAGTCTTTTTCTTCCACAGTTCGGGTTAGCCTTGCGATTGCTTCATTCATTTGAGCCAGCTGCTCATCGATTGAAGTTGCTCCAATGGTCATGACTTGCATGGCTAAACTGTCGCTTGAATCGGCATCAGAGAGCATGGATTCGGAGTATTTCCTTGGGCTTTCCCCCCTTGGTGCCCTTAGTGAGGCTAAGGTGATCAAAGGCTCGTGCCTTGAGTGTTTTTGTTCCCTTGGCAGAGTTGATGCAGAGGTGAAAGAGGCGGCAGAAGTAGCTCTTGCCATGCTTCGAGTCGTGATGCCCAAAGTGACACCAGTTGCGACGAGGACGCTTTTGTTCTTTGCGCTGGTTGCGGGAACAGTTTGAACCTTCCTTGATGCCATTAATTTTGGAAGTGCGCTTGAATTTCTTGAACGGAGAAAGAGATGAAAGGCAGAGATTGTCCCACTGGGCGTGCCAATTTGTGAACACGGAAAATTCCTGAAACGAAAGAGACAAGAACAACGTGCACAAACAAATATTATGTATTTGATGATTTTGGGTTACAATCTCTCTCTAATTTGATCCTCTGATTCGATCTCCGTAAGGTGTTGATTGGTGGGTGTTTCGTTGATCCAAGGGCCGTCGAGGCTTAATCTTGGATGAACAGTTGGAAGTTTCTTCAAAGGGCCGTGGGCTTTATCTTTGCAGGTGGATTTGAGCGGATCTTCAAGGAGCCGTTGGGGCTTGATCTTGAGTAACGGTGATGAACGGATCTTCAAGGGCTTTTGGGCTTGATCTTGAAGAAACAGTGATGAACAGATCTTCAAGGACTTTTGGGCTTAATCTTGAAGAACGGTTGGATGTGTGTGGATTTGTCGACGTTGTTGATCCAAAGGGCCGTTGGGGCTTGATCTTGGATGAACGGATGATGAACAATGGTGCTTTCTTCAAGGGTCGTCGGGGCTTGATCTTGGAAGAACGATGAACGAAGAACGAAGAACACTTTCTTCAAGGGCCGTCGGGGCTTGATCTTGAATTGGTGGATGATTGTTGATCCAAAGGGCCTTTGGGGCTTGATCTTGGATGAACGATGAACGAAGAACGAAGAACACTTTCTTCAAGGGCCGTCGGGGCTTGATCTTGAATTGGTGGATGATTGTTGATCCAAAGGGCCGTTGGGGCTTGATCTTAGGATGAACGATGAACGAATAACGCTTTCTTGATTATTCGGGAACCTGGATGCTTGAGAGCTTCGGAGTTTCAGAGCTTCAGAGCTTCAAGAGTTTTGCCTAATGATTTTGGTTCCTCCAAATGAATGAAATTGGCTTCTATTTATAGAATTTTCCAAGGCCTAATTTTGAATATAATATTCCAGATGAAATAAGTCGTTTCTGCCAGGTGTTGACACGTGTCCTATTTGATGACTTTTCCAACTCATTTCAATTTTCGTTGAGTCACACGCTACGTGTAAAATTTATGTAATACATGAGCGTTGACACTTTGATTTATCGGTCAACATTTATTTACCGAAATTTCGATGTCTACGGATCCTGATTGGGTAGTCAAAGAGGACCAATTTGATTTATTAAAATGTTTAGGGGATAATTACACAAATATATCTTTATAAATGGGGGTGGGTGTTACATATTGCCCTAAAAAATTCCAAGTAATTACAACATCGTATTAGAATTGTAATTGATCCTTGTTAGATTTGGTTTAGAAATTCTATGTAATTTAGTGATTGTTTCATATTAGGTTTAGATTTGAATTTTTTACTCCATTCAGATTTTAAAGGATTATAATAGATTTAAAAATTTATGAATTTTGATGAAGTTTAATAATTTTTAAAACTTTTATGTAAAATTTTAAGTTAATTCCCTCAAATTTTCAGGGAGCGATTTGAGAATGTTTAAAATATTATGTGAAATATTTCTAATTTTTTCGAGTTTCCCAACTTTTTAAAAATCTCTTCGAATCAATTTCTAAATGAATACATTTGGAATGTATGAATTTCTTAAAAATCATGATCGAATACCCCTTAAACTTTAAAGAATCACTTGAAATCCTGATTAAATGCCCTTAGATTTTTAAGGAGAATTAAAATGTTTATAAGCCCCAATTGGATGTACCGTTTAATTTAACTAATTAACACAACACAACAAAACCAATTAAGATTACAAATTAACACAAAAGATGACTTGATGCGAGGTCATATCTAAAAAACTTGCCGCAATAAGCCCCAATTGGTGTGTTTAAACTTCTTTCATTAATTACCACATATTTTCTACACTCACAATGTTTGTCAGCTCGCTATATAATCAACTTGATAATGTTAAATCCATCATGCAATGCATTTCCTTCCAATTTTTTGTGATAAACTAATTATTAATTGACTAAATAAACATCCTGCAAAGTTTCAATAAAAATTTCCAAGTTTTTCTTACAATTTCCGTGGTTTCCATGTAATTTTTATCGATATCGATATTATCCCGATATTTCCGTGTTTTCAAATTACCGATATTTTCTTCCTTGGTCAAAACAAAATAATATACAACTAATAAGTGAGAGTTTTTATCCTGATTACTGATGTCTTTTGTAATAAAATTGAACAATTAATAAGTGGTTAAGTTGAAACAATATCAATAATGTTGGTGGTTAACCATATTGGCATGTAAGTTTATCATAGTATCATAGTAGTTTATTCTTTCGACAAGTCCTAAATAAGATTTACTAAGCTCGGATTTGTCTTTTTAAGTTGAGCTTTTAAAAAGTTGTGCTAACTCTACCTTAAGAATATTGAATGAAGGCCTTCATAAACTTGCATTGACTCTAGTGAATGAATGTTGACTAGGCTTTTGAAAAATAACGTTAGCTCCAGTATAATGACTTGACTGAATCTCGATTTGAGAATTGGTCTCATGTGATTTTGTGTGGACTACTTGTGAGGGGCATGTTGAAGAATATGATTTCACATCGGACATATGATAAAATAATATACAATTAATATATAAGAGTTTCCATCATAATATTACCGAAGTATTTTGTGATAAAACAAAACATTTAGTAATAAATGATTAAGTTGAAACAATATTGATATATTGATCTCTCCGAAAAATTGAAAAATGATGAATTTAATACCTTAGAAATATTTGGATAAAAAAAAGAAAAAAAAAGCCCGAAATTTCGTTTAAGAGAAAGTCAATAGTGCCCTTACTGTTATTTATAAAGGAGAAGGGTAGAACTGACATTAAAATGATCAGTACAATTACCAATTTATCCTCCATTCGCGGCTGTTCTTCTGTTCTTCACCCGCCTAATTCACTTTAGCAATGGCGGACCTAGCAGCCCTTGCTCCTCCTTCTTCTTCTCCTTATTCTCCCCAAAACCCAAGCCAAAACCCTTTACCGTCACCATTAACATCATCGGCGGCGAGGCAATGGAGACCCGCCTCGCAGAGAAACCTGAGAAACCAGTGGTCCAAGCTAGCTTCTCACATTCAGCAATGGGCCTCTTCTTCCTCCGCCGCAAGGTCACACGCCACGAGTCTCGTAAACGCCTTTCTCTCTCTAAAGTACCAATCTCCACTCTCTAAACCTCTCTCTCTGAATTTCCTTTTAATTCTATATATGCTTTTCTGGGTCGTGGTTGGAATTCAATTTCATGCTTAAAGTTCCACACTTTTTGTTTAATCTGCTTAATTCTGTTTTTTTTGAAATTTGGGTTTTGTAAAATTTGTCAAACTGCGTTATCCATATAAAATTCAGTCGAAGTTTGTATGGAATCAAAGAAAGTTCATATTTTTTAAAGAGCGATATTGTTCTTTAATCTAATCTACACTAAGGGGAGGAGTTTCGAACTCGGTGCTAAGGGGAGCACGTCCGCTCTAATCAATGTGACTACGTACTCGTAGCATTAAAATCTCAATTCTATATCTGCATAATTTTTGTGTTTTTGAGATTTTGGTTTGTGCTGATTCTCTCAGATGACAGATACATGCCTTCAATGGAGTTGGGCGTTCTAACCGATATGCCCGATTTGCGAAAGAAAGCTTGCCAGAAATTGTCCCAGCTGCAGGTAACCGATACTAATTACAAACAAGCTTTTACTGGACTTATTTTACTGCAACCCTTGTGTTTACTGGATTTTATTTCAGGAGCTCCATCGGAGAAAACTTTTAGCATCATACAAGGACATGGTATGCATTCTTAACAGTCTTCTTAACCATTTGTGCTTTCTAGTTTTATTTGAATTTGAAACTCTTTTTTCTTCTTCTTTCTTGGTAAATTGGTGAGTGCATTTTTATAACAAGTCTAGTTATGGTGTTAGACTTGTCCAAAACATCCGAAACTGGGAAACTGCATCTGTACTTGTATACTATAGTGCTAGTACTGACTGAAAACGTGGTGGATATTAATTAAGATCGAACAATACATCATATGTTCTTTCAAGATCATGTCAAATTGACTTGGCTAATCCGCGCACTTTTGACGTTAAAGTTACCATCTTCAGGTGTTAGTTGTAACCGAGATGGTCAGAACTAGTAGATCCATGAGATGCTTCCTCAAAGGGACAAGCAATAGTCCACTTGAACATTATATTGGCTATTCTGAAGATAAAATTGATCCTGGAGATGGTGGCGGCATTCCGGTCTTTACATTTTGGTCAATCTCGTGCTTTGGTTGGTTACATTAAAGATCTTCTATAATGCATGTTTAAGCATAATATTCTGGTTTTAAAGATTATACATACACAGAAAAAGTAGTTTGATAAAATTTTGATCTTTGGAACAATATCAGAAAAAGTTGCAGAGGAGCTTGTCCTGATGCTTATATCGGAACTGAATCTGAAGGTAAATTGTTGTTTCATTGCCTGCTATTAAATCTTTTATCTAATTCTGCACGTACTTATTACATCTTTAACTTTAATACTTGTTGGTATGTTGTGCCCTTCATGCAGCGTTTGCTTGTGGTGGAGTTACTATCTGTTAGTTGCAAAGTTCCAGCGGTAAACACTATGCATTGGTCGGATGAGTATCTGCAACTTATATTCTGGGGAAACTTGTAGGCCAGTTTATCCTAGATTGGATGATCAGCAACCTGATATGCCAGCTACACAATGTAACCAGCAGCCAGATTATGATGTTTTGCAGGTATGGTTTCCGTCGATTCATGCAATTGGTTGTAAAAGAAAGAAAGAAAAGAAAAGAAAAGCAGATTTAGCCCTATAAAACATTTAAACATGTATACCGACAGAGTGATGAGAAATACAGGAGGTCACTCAGATTTTAAAGCAGTTCTCTACGATGGAAAGAACTGACGAGTATATTTACATTCGGAAGTGATTTCTGCTTCATATTCCCATGAGTTTTGCGATAATTGTTTGCCGTAATGGATTTCCTTCCTTAAAAATCATTTTGATTTGCAGGTTTATCTAGCGACATGGCTTGCAGAGGTGAATGTAGATGCTCACAGGTAAAATTGATCTCGGTTTCAAAGCATTTTGGACTTTTTTTTTACAAAACTTTTCGCCGTTGCATACCATCAAAGATGTTTCTTGAACCGCAAAGCTGTACGAAATTTTATATTTCAGAGGCTTAATTAGTTTCTTCTTTTCAAAAGGGTGGATGAAATATATGCGGAAGTCGGGAAGGAAATGCATGTCAAGCTCTCATGAGCTTGCTGATATGGGTGAAGATTTGATGCTCATCCAAAGCATCCGCCATTACTTGCAATCAAAGAAATATTCTTGAGGAATACTGAGAAGCTCAGTTGTGCGAGTCTCGGTGCCCAAGAAAGAACCGCCAAAGGGCAGAACGGGCTTTAGGATGGAAGTCAGTGCAGATCGAATGCAATACCACCAATCCTTGGCGTAATAGTTTATCGATCCAATGGCCGAAACTGATAGCAGTGAGATTTTGCAACTTCGCTGGTCTTTGTTTGATTTTAACAGACCCTGTGCTTCGAGTTTTATTCCGTTTTTCGCTAGGAATTGTCTGAGAACCGGTGCTTGGATTGCCGCACTGCATTTTTCAGTCGAATGTTGCTTCTTTTTTCAGGCTAATGGCCGTTACAGGTGAAGGAATTTGTTGAACATAACAATTCGTAGTGAAAGAACTACTTCGTCATTGGTCATGGTTTGGAGCTCCGACAACCGACGGTAACGAAGAATTCCTGTAACATGCTCCAAGCAATGCGCATCTTTTTCTTTATCCTCCATGCAGTGCCCAAGTCGAAGCAACATATATTTGGTGAAGTTTTATGTCGGAATACATCAAAACACGATATTACGAGATGCAGGTTCGAAAACGTATATCCCTCGAAAAATTTCAAAACCCGTCATCCAAAGCCTAATATTCAGCCAGAAGCTAAAAGATAAAAAGGAATTTTAACGAAAAGCTTGCAGTTCTGTTTATTTTAACGAGAAATCACATTTTTACACTAAAAATTTAACATGATACTATTTACTTTACCTTTTACTTTGTCTTTTTTGTTATAACTCAAAATTTTCAAACCTTTTTCATTAGTTTTCCAGCTCCTGATACTGTTCACTTTAACGAAAAATCACATTATTACACTAAAAAAATCAATATTGATACTATTCACTTTACCTTTTATTTTGTCATTTTCGTTAGAACTCTCAAGCTCTTTTCATTAGTTTTTCTAAAGCCTAATATTCAGCCATAAGCTAAAAGATAAAGGAACTTTAACGAAAATCTTCAAGTACTGTTCATTTAAAAAAAAAAATCACATTTTTACACTAAATTATTTTGTCTTTTTCGTTAAAACTCAAAAATTTTAAACTATTTTCATTTGTTTTCTAGCTCCTGATATTGTTCACTTTAAAGAAAAACCACATTTTACACTAAAAAATCAATCTTGATACTATTCACTTTACCCTTTATTTTGTCATTTTCGTTATAACTCAAAGTTTTCAAGCAATTTGCATTAGTTTTCCTAAGATACACAAGGTACGCTGAAAGTTATGTAGCATACCATTCAACTACACATCTAAGAATCCTTCCGGGCCTTTGACGTAGTCAAAGGCCGCCTTACAATGAGTCATTCGACATTGCGGAATAACAAATGCTTAACACATAAATTACTACAACTACAAGAGGGAACGGTATCAACTCAGCAAACAAGGTACTTAGCCTACAGCATTTTCAGAGATGACAACGTCCTTAAATTTGAGAACACTTACGAAATGACAAAAGGAAGTAAAACATCTAGCAAAGAGGGGCCATATTAGCAAAGGGTCACTCCCGTTTTCTTCTACCGCACTCCTCCCCTTGTTTCTTTCCCTGATTCTCGTTTCATTTATTCAATCTAGAGGGTAGAAATGTAGGGAGGCGTGCATGGGGAGAAAACGGGAGTTCGAAAATCAGCCATGAAAGTAAAACAAAAGCCGAAACCAACATAATGTATGAAGTACTCAAAGCTAACAACAACGGGAACTTTAACGAAAAGCACCCGCTACTGTTCACTTTAACGAAAAACCACATTTTTACACTAAAAAGTCAATCATGGTACTATTCACTTTACCCTTTATTTTGTCCTTATCATTAAAACTCAAAGTTTTCAAGCCCTTTTCATTAGTTTTCCTTTTTATTAAGCCTTCTGTGGATGTCATAAACTACCCAGACTTCTACACAACCAAACCAAAATCAAGGCAAAATTTCTCTTATAACTTATTTCCGAACTTACTACTAAAGTCCCTCTTCTCGTAAATCCCAGTTGCAGAACCTCAACCAATGGATTTCCCATGCCTAAGATTATGAACGAGAATACATGATTACATAAATTATAGAAGTGTGTACAATTTTGAGTAAAGGGACTGCGATTCTATCCTCCCCCCTTAGCCTAAAAATTGATGGGGCATCACAGTTCCTTTCTAAACTTTCGGAGTATACAGAGACCATCTTATATTTCTTAAAAATGGCATCAATGGCCCATGGTGAAAAGAACTAAAAGTCGCCTTGGCTTTTAAAGGCGACAATCTAGAATTCATTCTTCTCCTACATTCCGATTTGTGTAACTGCTGTTGCGAGCCGTGTCCCATTAAATAAGTTAAAGATAATGGACACGGGGATCACAAGGGATGTGGAGATAAATGGCTGGGGAGGGAAAAATAATAAATTAATAATCAAAGTGAAAGACATTGTACCCTGTCTGGCAGATTTCCAGGCACTCGAAGTCCAGTAACATATTTTTGGGGGCAGGATTTTTGAGCATCAGAAGACGATGAGGCCTCCGGCCCCTCACCTTGTGCCCGCCCGTGAAACTTAGCAAAACGATTGATGACAGAAAACTTCTCAAGATCCTGGCTTTCCACTCTCAAGTCTAAGATTGAGCTTTTCTTGTCCAGTCTGCATCAGTGGAAGAATTACACCAGAGTGAGTGTGAGAGAAAGAAAGGGAGTGAGAGAGAGAACATACAAAAGAACAATAAGATGATAAGAAATGGTATCTTAGAAATTAAAGTTAACTACAATATGAAAACTAATAATCAGAAACGGTGGTGTGAACAGTGAAGGAAAGGAGAAGGTTGCGGAGGCTACCTCAACAAATCATTTTCCAGACTCCTTGCTTTATCAATAAAGGCTTCCACAACTTTCGAGTAGTATTGATTGCTGACTTTCTCCCGTGTTCTAAGCTTCTCGGGAAAACTATAAATCATATAATGAAGACTGAATGTTAGCATGCAATGAATAATGCAAATTCCACCAATCATCAATTCATTGCCTTAATGGAAAATTTTACATAAATTTCAGACAACTCTTACAGGTTTACACTGTCAGGAGGCAATGGAGTTTGAGCATCACTTCCGGAGCAGGATATTGCACTGCAAGCATCACCCAGAGATAATCTAGATGCAATGTAAGCCACACTCTCATAGCATGAGCTAGCATCTGCAGAAAGAACTGCTGCAGAAGGAGGGTGAAGCAGTTGCTGCATAAGCTGTGTAGTCAAGACAAGCCTTCTTTTGAACCTAAGTATTGGCGGTCCATCTTCAGTTATTTCAGTTTCATCTTCCACCTGTCAACCCAACATGAAGCAATTAGAAATTAGACCGCTTAAAAAGAATTACTGTATATCAAAGCTTAATTGTGAGATTAGTGGTTGAACTTGAAACAAACCTTCTCAGCCAGTCGGTTTGTTGAGCGAGCCCAGTCTGCCTCAGCTGCACTGTAAGTATAAACCTTCCATATGTTAGAAATTCATAAAAGAAATAAAAATTAATATTATCTTCTGTGAAAAATAAAAATAACAAAGAACTAAAGTTAAATGGAGCATCTTTCACCATCGAGCAGAGGGTCAAGCAACCCACCTGATACTTAGAAGCCTTTTGGGAAACTCGGTCAGCTCTTTATGCCAAGGTGAAAGTTCAGATGTAGCACTTTTACGCTTCATCGGCCGCTCAACAATTAAACCTTGATCAGCTACATCAGACTGCGACACATGAGGTGAAGGTGATTGCTCACTGGGAGTAGGTATGGGAACTGAACTCTGCAGGGTGGTAACAAGCTTACTAGCATCAGAAGCAGCACTAGCTTGCTCCATTGATTCCCGAGTATGCAGATCATCACCTGCCCTTCCAACAACTGAAGGTTGTCCCATAGCCTTCATAGTGGTTCTCAGTGTATCAGGCATTGCAAACACTTGCCCATTCTTAAAGGTTCCATACTGTTCAAACCAGGATGGTGCCATCTGGGGGCTAACTTGAGACTGTTCACCTCTAAGAGAAGATGCATTACTACTAGCAGAGAAATTCTGGGAGTTCTGGCGATTTAAAGCAAACATATCCTGACTAGATGCATTTGAATTTTGAGTATCCCCAAGCTTGGATGAAAAGCTAAGCATGTTAGGATCTTTAGAGGGAACTAAAATATGATCAGCTGATGAATCTCTAACCATACTATTATATCCATAAGGAAATTGTGATCCTCCCAGGGGACCCACCTGCTGAGTCTCCACACCTGAATCTGCACCCTTCAACCTCTTCACACTCCGATCACTTCCATCAACGTCTGTAGTTTTCATAGCCTGCACTTGGTCCGGCAAGGAATAACTATGATGCAAACTGTCATTTGGCCTTAAAGAGCGACCGAAAGCTTCAATATCTCTCAGGGTAGCAACAGAGCTTGAAAAGTTATTTGCAATGGATTCTTTTCCCTGAGAGACATTGATATTTTGGGCATTCTGAATGTTCTCAGGTGACGCTTGTTGCCCGGTACTTGGTTTGGATTTTTGCTCTTTCCCAACAAAGCTTTGCACATTCAAAGAATATGCACCAAAGGCAGACGAGCCATTCCCTCTTTCCCGGGTATCTTGTTCATTGAGCTTTGGTGATTCAGCACTTGCTAAAGGTTGCTGAAATGGAACATTGGTCCATACATTAGTCAATACTTTAGAAACGGCACCTTGACGGGACATACCCGATACAACAGAAGGCTGAGAGCCTGGTAGAACATCTGATTTGGGGATTTTGGGGGCAGCAACTCGTAAACCGGATTGATCAGCAACATTCAGTAGGGATGCCTCTGCTTGGTTATTCTGTGAAGTACTTCCAGACAAATCTAGCACTGATTGCAGGGCAGATTGGCTAGTTTGAGATGTGTCACGAGAATCACCCATCTGTTTTGGTCGGAAAGCATGCCTATCAAAAGGTATGTTCTCAGACTGGCTTGCTGTTTCTTGTCCACTTGAACCTGTCATGTGCTGTTTTTCTAGTTGACCTCTTGAAAGAGGAAAACCAGATTTGAAAGCTGCAGAAAGACTTCCCTGAATATTGTACTGTGAAGCCTTACTCCCTGTCTGTCCTGAGGTAACAGAAAGATTATTTCTAATTTCACCTTGAGATGCTTCACGAGAAGAAGGCAAGGTCTGGGCAGATGCTTCCGAGGCCAACCATGTATGACCCTTTTCTCCTATCTCAGAATGGACAGGGGATGAACTGACAACTACTTGTGAAGAGAACTGAGAAGATGAGGTATGATCTGCAATTGGAGTACGTTGAGATGGAGGAGCCAGCTGTAAACCGAAACCTTGAGAAACAGATGACTGATTTCGCTGCATGTGACCTACAGATCCTTCAGAAGTTTCCACTTCAGGCATCTCCGACGATGTATTCTGATCTGAAGAGCTGAAGTGTGTAGCATTGCCACCCTCCCTTGGTTGGTCCACCTTGTGAAGTAGCTCAAGCATATGTTGACTGCAAGGATTTGAAAATATTAAAGTGTCATCTCATCAAGCAAGTCTATCTATATATGAATTGTACACATGCAGTGGAA